GTACAATAACCTGGATTACTGAAACAGAGCACTTTAAAATTGCAGAATTTTACATGCTATTGATTTATCGTTAGTCTGCCAATTTAATATAGTCTAGTTCGCATTATTCTGACTGAATATAAATGAACAAGGCGTAGTTCTGAGAATAATCTCGAATCCTATCTTGAATGCTCATCGAATAACCTACATTCAGAAATCCGTCGGCAATTTTATCTTTATTTGTAGATCTAATATTTTTACGCGTCATTTCACGTAGGACGTAGCATTTGGACATTTCTGTCTCTGTAGGTACAGTAAGTGATAACTAATTATGTATTTCTGAAATCTTGAAATATCGCTGTGACGGTTATTTTTCACCTAAAAACCTGTCTCATGTTTACAAACAACTATTTTAATTTCTTTACCAGTTCAAGACAGCAAGTAACCTTACAACATTGATATTAATGCGAATCTCCTGATCCCACGTCAACGACCTCCACTATGCACTGCCATTCAACCTCAACCATCTTCACTTGATCCCCTCCCCTCTTTCTTTCTTCCACGGTCATTACTCAAAGATGCTACTGAAAGGATTTCGAGAGGTCTTTCTAAAATGGTCCTTAGTGGCGAATGCAAAGTTGGCGGTCTCATAGAAAATGTAAAAGATCATAATGATAGGGACTTCAAACTGAGAAGTGCTTGCATTCACAAGACTTCTAACTCTATACATAATATATTATGCTCGTGTTATGTAACACGATTTATTACCTTACAGGCTATTGCATCATGGCGTTTTAAATCTTTAAGACAGCTTCCTTAGTGCAATTTTGCGTGATAGAATCATATACAAAAATACGAATGTTTTCACTGTATATTTTATTATTTAAAAGACTGTTAAACGTTACAACCATTTCTGCAATTGTCAGTTGTAATGCAATCGTTAGGTGTTTTATCACCCTTAAGACGTGTCGAACAATTTTGCAATAACAACTTGAAAATGTAACATCGATTATAAAGAAACCACCACCAACAACCCCACGGCATTCATAATCAGTGAATCAAGAATTTGGAGAAAATCAAAATCTGATTTTTGTAGAGATTAAAAGATTTGACGGCAAACAAGCAGATGAATTAACTGATTGTAAGCAGTCAGCGCCGTCCATGGCCACCCGCAGTCACGGAGGGGTTACGAGTACGTTGCCGACCTTTTGGGATTTGTGTTTTTGAGATTTCGAGATTTGGAAGGGGGAGGATTGGACCTCCGGTGACCTCATTCAAACGGGCGCCGGCGCAACACAACGCTGTGGTTGTTTCAAGTCTGTTTTCTTCGAGGCCGTGGATCAGTCCGGTCGAGTCGACCCATTCCTGCCGAAACATGGCTCTCTCATACTTATTTATGACAAATGAAATGATTTTTTGAGAATCTTTAACTGTTGAATCTCTATGTAAAGAAAAATTTGATATCCAGTTGCATATCGCATGTTTCTCGCTAGCCATGCACTCAAATCTAGTTACTACTACAATCTAGTGTGGATCAAGTTTACCTTATAATTTTATTATATAATGAATAATCTCGACAAAATGATACGCTAATGTCTTTTGCATGTTGTAAAACAATAAATTATAACAATTTCATAGCGTGCACTGATTGCTATCGAAAATTGGATCCGAAAGAGCGACTTAATCGGTTGCTGAAGAGAAATCTGTTTGTTACAAATTCGTGTATACATATAAACATTAGAAATTGGAAGAGAACCGTAAGCATTTTTTTGAGGAGGGGAAATCTTCAAATATTCTTTTCGCCTAGTGCTATCACTAGGCGAGTGAAGGAGTGGGATTGTCAGAACTTATTAGATGTATAAGAAAAATTATAAAGACGTGGCATGGCATAATACGAATAAGTACATAAAGCTTTCCACTGTTACATACTCATATTTAGACACCGCGCAATGTTTATGAAAAAAAAGAAATTGAAAAGGTTGTTCGTTTGTCTCGTTGTCCCGAAGATCATGAACGAAACTTGGGAAAATTCAATGAATGAGTTAGGGGAAATATACCGCTTTCAGATTCTTACTGACTAAACCTCTCCCCGTTCCTTCTGCTAGTCTAGACCGAGGCCGTGGTACTTTATTGCGCTTGCCCCGCAACCCTGGACTGAAAGCTGAGCTGATCATTTTCAAATATTTTTAGCGTTAAAAGAAGGCGTTCTTTGATTAAAACTATAAGTAAAATTACAATTCATTCTACGAATTATGGAAGAAAACCAATGAAAATACTGCGACTAGTCAGCTGTCATTCAAGCAGAGAGTTCGGGAGTTTCTTTTGAGGGTGGGGGAGTCATCGTGATCATGAGTGTATATATTTATATGTGTAAGTATATATGTATGTTTATGTTATACTCATTATGCTCTTGTTCCCTCTGCATCAACCAACGGTTGACTGGTAGAGAATGCTCAATGCATTAAGTCTGCCTAATGTACATGACAAATTGTGCATGTAGTATAAAATAAATGAATAAAAATACTAGTAGTAAGGAAGCCATTTTGTGAAAAGTTACTTCAGTCACAGCCTCAGCTATTTACGTAACTGCACGACATGTTTGTATCTGGTCTTAAGTAACACCCCCTCGTTAGTGTCGCTCCTCTTAAGTGCAAAGAGCGTGATGATACATACGCATACTTCATACACACACGTACTTTGACATACCCCCACTCACACAAGTTTTGTAATTATTGACACCACTCGAATATGCGCATAAACTCAACACTTTATGGAGGATTTGCATCAAGTATCGCGTTAACTTATTCGAAACAGCAGTTAGATATTACGAAACTTTATGAGCGTTTACCTCGGACATGAGCAACATTTTAGCGTCAGTTATTTGAGTAATTTTACGGCTTCAGTAGTCAACAGTTGAGCTTGAAGTACTATGGTTACTTATCTAGAATAATATCCTTTTGTTAGCGAATTTGGTAAGCGCTATTTTTTCCCCTAACTCATCCATTGAATTTGCCTAAGTTTCGTTCATGATCCCCGGGACAACGAGACAAACGAACAACCTTAATTTTATTTCTTTTTTTTCATACCAAGGAGTCTTCATTACGCGTTGTCAAAATATGAGTATGTAACAGTGAAAAGCTTTTTGTAGTAATTCGTATTATGCCAGGCCACGTCTTTATATTTTTTCTTACACAACTAATAAGTTCTGTACCTAAAGCAGATTTCTTTATCACCTCTTTACATAAAGGAACTTTCTAATGGTCAACGCAAAATATAACGAACGCCTATTAAAAGTAATAAAAATAATTTACGTTAGTTGTGCACGATAAAAACCGCCATTAATCCATGGAGAGGAGATATACCTATGTAGTTATTAGATTGTCAATTACGATAGCGCAGTTCTGCTTCTCGACCGTAATTGTTTTTGTGAGCGAAGCACTATGATATTAGCTATTTTACACAGTTTTTCAGTGAGCTAAGATAGTTTCGATGCTCGAATTGAAAGCCAATTTTGTTATGTAAATTTTTATTCGTTTTGTGGAGTAATAATGGAATTTTGTGCTGTAATCTGATCTTTTTTGTGATGGAATCCAACACTTTTCTCCCCTAGTAATGAAACTAACATAAATTTTGATAATTCTCAGTTAATAAGAATCGGGCTTTCCTCATTCTCGTCTGAAAATTGTATGTGATATTCTTAGGATTTCATTCTTAAGAGTATCTGACTATTATTTAATATCGCTGCAGCAATATACTAAGATAGTTTTGTGTATGAGCGAGACACAATGTAACTGTAATAAAGGCATATTCTATTTCAGTACAAAACAGATCTCAAACATGCAATAATCCGGATTTAAAAGGTACATCGCTACGTTTCATGCAAAGCGAATACAAAGGTACTTACTGCGAACGATAGCGGCGGCCACTTTAATGAGACCTCGATTCTAACATCAGATCATCGTGGTCATCGGTCTATAACACTGGACATGATATATGGGTCACGCTTAACGAACTAGTAACGACCTATTTTGCTTGGGCAATATTTTGGAAACCTCTAGCTATTTTTGTAGGTCCTTGTAATCCAAAAAAAATGCCCATCGTATAGGAATTCCACCCGATCATCGTGGGTTCTTCACAAATAACTTTCAGTATGGAATATGCAGTATCATATCGACAAATGATTTCATGATTCTAGGTCAACGGGAACTAGATCAAATGTATTGATTATCTTATAAAGGAGAGAAAAAGAGATCAGAAAATATATTTTATACTGTTTTTAAAGTCGTATCTTTTCATTAGGTACCTGTTGGCATTAAAGTTTATTTTTTTAAACTCCAAGAAAATAGAGTTCTTATGTCGCTTTTCAAATTCAGTTCATAAATAAAACAGAATATTTTGCAGAAATTGTGCTATAAGGATTCCTTTCACTTTTGATATCGGGGCCCCCCAAAAAGACATGTCGGCTTCCTCGTATATATGTAGGTAACAATATATTGATGATCCACGTTTAACTTCGGTCCATCTATTCTCGACAACATTAAGTTATCTTATTTCTATAATAAATAAGGTTTGCCTTTATATAGGGGATGTTACAGGTTTCTCTTTGCATGTGAGAGAAAATTGTGATTGTATTAAGACTATTTTAGACAGATGTGCTATTATTATGATTTGCGTTCGAAATTTAAATTTCGACAGAAATGAAATTTAGAGATTTCGACTTTTGAGGTTAAGGTACTCACGCACGCGTGTACACTGAATATTCTAAATAACCATTGAAAAATGTTTCGATAAGGTAAAAAGAACAGTAAACATCTATGTGTAGTATAATACATATTAGGTATTGCTATAGCTTTCGCCTCTTTGTTTGGATTAAAGCCCGATTTATTGAATCGGTAACTACAATTTTTTTTTAATTTTACGGGTCCAATATGGCGTCCATCTTAACTTTATAAAGAACAATTTTGTTATCGATTAACTTTATCATTTTAACTCCCCTATTAATATTTTTATCATGTCTCCAGGTCCTCAGAAGGTGAAGAAAGTGAGAAGAACGCAGATGGAGTAAACAGGATACCTCCACATTGTCACATCACAATCAAATGTACCAGAGAGGTGAGCACAGTAACAATACGTGATATTAATACCGGCTTCTCTCGCGTTACCAGGTATAAAGATAGCCTCTATGTTACCTACACCAAACTACTCGTAATAATAATCTCTGCCAATGGTTAGGGGCAGGGGCGATAGTATTTCTATAGTTATCATCTACCAGTCCATAGCCACCCACACCCATATCCATATAATCTTTTACCATTTTGCAACATAGTCCTGCATCAACCGGGGATTGTCCTTGGGTGCACTTTTATGGTGCATACAGGGATAATTGCCGGCTAATGTCTCATCACATTTATATTAAAACTGGTCAACGGGCCTCTGCGAGTTGGCTTCGGCTCCTCATATGCTTTCCAAAGGTCCGGGACCCTGTGGTCCCGTGAAAGGAAAGAAGATCTCTGCCAAGTTTCATCTAATTCCGTTCAGTTGTTTTGGCTTAAAAGAGTACCTAACAAACACATCCTTAAAGTTTATCCTCGGAAACTTCTACTTTTTGTATTAAAGACTGGTAATTTTATCCCGTTGAGTTTTGTACCCTTAACGCATCTAGATCTTACTTACAACCAACAATGAAACAATGAATTTATTTTCGTAAATAGGCCATAAAACAGCACTTTTACGCGTCAATATTATATGTAAAAAAAACTAGATGAAGCCGGCATTACCTATCTGGACTACTCTGAGAAGAAATGCCGAACCAAACCAAACTCAGAGGTCCATCTCTTTTCAAGTCCAAACATATAAAGAAATTACGGTTTACCAAAACTGTCCCCACGTGTGCTTACAACAGCAAGCTTCCTGATTAGATACTGGCCACATTCTAAATCCCCCTACTCCACTTTATGACCCCCTGCTTCTAATAAATCCTTTTTTCTGAACCCTCTTCCTTGATAACCAATAGCTTACGATAGCAAGGGTTTAAGGACTGATTTGATAACTTTTTTATGAGATTTCTACACGGCATCAGAGACTCCGTTTTATTTTTATGTGTCCCCAAATTAACATGATATTGCTTTTCATAATATTATAGTAAGGTGTTCAGAAAATCTTCGAGTCTTTTGTAAAAGTGTCTATAGTTTTTTTTTTGTGTTTTCGTTAGCAATATGATTATCAGTCGTTTAACAGTGTTAACTTTTTAATTACAACGACAAAGCGTTATTTTTACTTTTAATTCAAAATAATTCAAAGTTATTAGGAAACTTAAACATCTCCTCCCAATAGGACTGTACGTTGAGATAAGGGGTCTATTAAGGAATATGTGGTTCCTTTTCGAGAAAATACACTTTTCATAGTTTCAATGAAGTTCGTATTCAAATGATACAAGTGAAAACCCCATAATTCCTTCCAGATTGCAGGTTTCAACGGTCTATCCGAAGCGGTGCGTCGTCTAGATTTCTCATCCGCAGTGCGTGATGTTCGTCGTTTCAACTACATCTGTGCTCTATTGGAACTGCTGGTCGGTGGCCAAAGACTGACACATCTGCCTGGAGCTGCACAGAAGCTGTTATTGTCCATGTTGGAGCAACTTGCTGATCAAGGTGAGAGGGAAAAACTTTTATGATCTTAACCGCTTCCCCTTCCGGGGAACCACATATGACTCGCGGCTTTTGTGTCTATTTTGTGGATAGTGAAAGTGTTAAAATTATTTTTGGTCGTTTTTTTTGTTTCTAAGGCCGTCTGAGTGTGGTTAACGTAGGCCCATTCATCTCCTTTTCCCCGTCTTAAAATCCCTAACCTCCAAAAACCTAAAAACGCACTCGTAACTCCTCTGGTATTGCGGTTGTCCATGGCTAATGCTGGCTGATTGCTTACCATCATATGAACAGAGACCAAGATTGCCACTACATCACATAAAAAAATATGGATACTGCAAAAAGTATATAGACATTTTTGTCGTTTGAACATTGATCAAGTATAGAGTAAAATTGCTATCAGTACTTAACTAATATTATAAAGAGGTAAAATTTGTAAGTTTGTATGTAGGGGGTAATCTTTGGAACCGCTGGCCGGATTGCCAAAATTCTGATACCTAGATAGTTTCAATGTGGGAATATGGGAACTATACATACTGTCAACGCGTATAGACGTGTGCATCGATGCAAAAATAATATTGCTTAAACGTAAATGAACAATTAATAAATAGTGACCTACTTTTGTTGCTACTTAGTAATATAACAAGTGCTGCTATCTTAACAGTATAATGACAATTCGTGTGTGTAAAAAGTACAAATAATATGGACAACAGCCCCTTCAATCGGAGCGGGATTACCCGCCGCACCCCTCCGCCCTCGAATCAGAAGCAGGATGAACAAGTCGAAATTGACCCACCAGAGACGGCATCTACATCAGATCTTCACCAATGGACAGGGTCAGTGGAGCGTTACCTACAAGAAATATGCACAATTTCTTCTGAAGGAAAACTGAACTCTGAGCAGAAATTGAAGATCAACAATCTCTGCCGTAAAGTATGCCAAGGGTTTTCCCACGTAACGTTGCAGTACCAGGCCCTGAAGAATAAGGCTCTACTCCAACATTATGCCCTACAGGATTTAAATGAAAAATTTGACCTGGCTAATACAATATCCCAAATGAAAGAAACGTTAAAAGAATCTTTGCCTATTACTGCTCAACAAAATAGCTCTTTTGCCGACATGGTGAAAAAAGGTACCAACAATTTTATTCGTCCTAGCCCCTTGAGTTCTGTCGCCATTTATCCCAGTGATAAGTCAAAGACGAGCGATGAAACAAGAGACATCGTCCAAAAAGCCATTTGCCCAGGAGATATGAAGCTAAAAGTTCGTGGCGTTCGCAAGATACGCAATGGAGGTGTTATTATTAGCACCGAAACAAAGGACGACCTAGAGAAACTTAAGAAGTCAGTCCAGCTCTCTTCTACAGGGCTCACCGTAGACGAACCCAAGAAGCGTAACCCACGCATAATAATCATCGGTATCCCGACCTCAATGGCCGAGCAGGAAGTGTTCAAATGTATTTTTGAACAAAACGTCGCCGAAAAGCTGCCCAATTTGACTCGTGATACCTTCCTTTCATCAATAAGGTTGAGTCATAAATCAGGAAGGAAAGACGCCGATCACTGCAACTACATCATAGAAGTTCCAGCCGCCTTCCGAAAAGCACTGATAACACAAGACAGAGTATTTATCAACTGGACATCGTGTCCAGTTAGAGACTTTACGGCAGTGACCAGATGCTACAACTGCCAGCATTATGGTCACGCAGCTAAGACGTGCCAGGCAGCTGCTCCCACATGCGGCCACTGTGGAGATGAGGGCCATTCCATCAAAGATTGTCCCAAGAAAGGCGTTGCACCGAAATGCGCTACATGCTCTCGGTTTAAAAAGCCGAGCAACCATCAGACCGGTGACGCCGATTGCCCAGCCAAAAAAGCAGCTGAGAACAGGTACATAAACTCCGTAAATTATGAAGGCGCCTAAGAGCGCCACCTATTTTTGTTTTTTTAGTTCTAAATTAGTATAGTTATTATGGCCATTGACTTAGTAAATGAAATAGATAATTCTTTTTTAAATGTAAGCAATTTTTGTGAAGTTGAAAACTGCAAAAACTATGTTTCCAAAAATCCGGATTCACTAACAATTCTAACCCAAAACATACGTAGCTTATATAAAAATATAGATAGTTTACATGTACTGTTACAGCGACTTAACTTCACCTGTGACATTATTGTTCTAACAGAGTGTTGGCTAACAAATAGATCCGATAACCTTCCAAACATTCAGGGATATAACGTCTTCTGTAATACTGAAAATACCAGCCAAAACGAAGGAGTCGTGGTATATGCTAAAGACTCAATAAAAGTTGCTGTGGAGGAACCTAATACACCAGGATGCAATTGTTTGGTCATTAAAATTAATACAACTACAGCAATAATAGCTATTTACAGACCACCCTCCTTCAGAAACTTAGACTCGTTTCTCCACTCATTAAATCAGACATTTCAAACACTCACCTCATTTAGAAATATTATACTAACAGGTGATATAAATATTAACATAAATTCCGAGAATTATGACGCAGGAACACAGGATTATCTCAATTTATGTGCATATCATGGGCTCTTAGCAGCTCATAAATTGTCAACACATCAAAGCGGTTCCTGTTTGGACCATATGATGGTGAAATCTACCTCCAACTATATTAGCCTTGTCACTAACTCAACATTAACTGATCATCATGCAGTTTTACTAATATTAAACATCTCGCTACCGAAGCATAATCGTCATCAATTCAGGTCTCAATTTAATAAAAACAAATTCGAACATGATTTGCGCAACATGGACTTCGCTCCAATTTATAATTTTGCTGATATTAATGCGTCAATGTCGTATTTAATTAATAATGTTGAAAAAGCCATCTTGCAGAACACAACAACATTAAATACAAAAAACAGACATTATAACATAAAACCATGGATTACGCCTGGGCTTGTTAGGTGTATAAGACACCGGGATAAACTACATCATAGAGCCAAACGTTTTCCAAATAATGCTGATTTACAATTAATTTACAGAAGATACAGGAACTTTTGCAATAAACTATTGAAAAAGATAAAAATTGACTACGAAAAATGTGTATTGCAGCGGGCCGGAAAAGACAGTAAAAAGCTTTGGAAGCACATAAAAAATGTAACAAATATGACCAAACAACAAGAATCGTGTTCGGATTTGCTTCATACTGAATCGTCATCATACTTGTCTGCTAACAATGTAAATAACTACTTTTTAAATGTAGGAAAAAATCTTGCTAGTCAGTTGCAGTCATACACTAAAAAACGGACAAATACAACTTACCCACACTCAAATAATTATACCGAAAAATCATTTGTTTTATTAGACCCAGACGAGCATGAAATTGCTCGAATCATTACGGGAATGAAAGATAATTGTGCGGTTGGTTGTGACAGTATCAGTAATAGAATCCTCAAAACTTTTAAGCACGTGTTCGTTCCTCCTCTGACGCATATTTTTCGTGAGTGTCTGTCAAAGGGCATTTTTCCGTCATGTCTTAAAAAGGCAGTAGTTGTTCCTATTTTCAAATCAGGTAATAAGGAGTCAATTAATAACTATAGACCTATTTCACTACTGCCCTCAATATCCAAAATTCTCGAGACAATTATTAATACCAGATTGAAAAACTACCTCGAGAAAAATAACATCTTATCACCATTGCAATTTGGTTTTAGAGCAAACTTGTCAGCAGCTGATGCAGTACATACACTCACAGATTTTATATCAGAAGAACTAGGAAAAGGCAATCACGTGCTAGGAATCTTTATTGATCTTGCCAAGGCTTTTGATACTGTTTCTATTCCACTGCTTCTAAAGAAGCTGGAATGCATAGGTGTCAGAGGCACGCAGCTCAATCTCTTTGCTGATTATCTCGATGACCGTTATCAGTGTGTTAGAATAGATAATATAATGAGTTCATTTCAGAAAAATACTAGTTATGGAGTGCCTCAAGGTAGTATACTAGGTCCTACTCTGTTCTTAATATATATCAACGATTTGTGTAATCTCAAAATCTGTCATGGGAAACTAATATCATACGCCGATGACACTGCTTTAATTTTTTCATCTACTTATAAATCGGAATTGTATAAAAATGCTCAATTGGGCTTTGACTCTGTTAATAGTTGGCTTTCCTCTAATTTACTAACATTAAATTCGGACAAAACAAAATTCATTCAATTTTCTATGCGTAAGTTTCCAGATACTACTGTGATACCCGAGTTATTTGCACATATATGTACAAATAAACTAGCTGGTACATGTAATTGTCCTTGTATCCTAAAAACTACATTCATCAGATACCTCGGCATCACAATAGACGAAACTCTCTGTTTCAAACAGCACATCAGCACTCTAGTTTCAAGAGTCAGAAAGTTGATGTACATTTTTAAAAAGATGAGATATATTGGTGACATGAAATTAATCACGCAAGTGTACCAAGCCTTATGTCAGTCCATTATACAGTATTGTATTAATTCTTGGGGCGGTGCATTAAAAACTGTTATTCTACCTCTAGAACGGGCTCAGAGGGCTATCCTTAAGGTAGCATTTTCTCTTCCTTTTCTTTTGCCTACATCAATTCTATATAACACCTGCAATGTTTTAACTGTTCGCCAAATTTACATAGTACAACTAATACTTAAACAGCACTCATTACTCACCTTTAAAACTAACTACTTTACTAACAAAAGACGGAATGACATAGTTTGCAATTCAACTTCAGTGTCAAAACACGCCTTTATTAAAAGATTTTTCATTTTCCTAGGCCCATTTTTATATAATAGAATAAATAGAGAATTAAGTATTTATAGCCTTAACCATTATCGTTGTAAAAAAATATTAACTAATTATGTACACACCCTAACATATGAACAAACTGAGGAATTACTTGAGGTTTGCAAATAATATAATAATAGCTGACGTCTGTTTATGTAATTGTACACGCGCACCTGTAACACTTAGATACTAATTATTTAAATGACTTGTTATATTTTATTCGTTTAGTTTGATAAGCAATAATATTGTAGTAAAAGTATGTCAGCACTTTTTTTACCTGAAACACAGGTTTGCACCTAGTTCAGGTTGATGTTAAACACTGTACTTTTTCTAGATTTTAAGATCTTTTTTGTAATCTACCTTTTTACAACAAATAAACATTATTATTATTAAATAAAAAAAATGTCCCTGAGTGCTATAGGCTATAAAACTTGACGCTACGATTAAATGGAGCCAAGCAGCGGGTGAAACCGCGCGAGAGTAGCTAGTACAAAATAAAAATTTGAAAATGTTATGAAGTGAGACCTCCTGTTACATAGAACTTAATATAACCACACTCTTGAAGGATAGCAAAAATGATATTGGTTATGTTATAGTCTCGTCTGACTCATTGTACAAATAAATACCTGTTGTATTAAATTTAATTTCATCAGCTCCTCATCTGATTATTTATTCCAAATTGTTTTGTGATTGTAATAGTCCAAGTATCTATCAATCATATTTTTATTCTAGTGGCAACATCAAAACATAATTTGAACGCTCTCCGCGCGCTAGTGATGTCCGTATCATCTGCGCGAGAGTCGGAGAAGCGGTCGTGTTGGGGCCGGCCGCTCGGCTCGCGAGCGTTGTGGGGCCATCATGACCACGCCATCGCGAGAATCAACCGCATCGCTAATAGTATTAGGATACAAGAGGTTAGTCAAACATGATTTCAGATATAGGTAACTAAATCGATTCAAGTCTTTGACTGACGACAAAAACTGTTGAAGGGTAATCCACCGCTAGCGTTGGACACCATTGTTCGACATGGCATTCAATGTGTTAAGGAGTGTTATCTAAAAGATAATAAGTATTTTCCTAAAGAACTCAGACGCAGCCGATGTTCTTATAAGTAGGGACATGTTTTAGTATGTTTAGACATTTCTAACCCCCAATTCATCCTCAGCCAAAAGCCTTAGTTCGACAGCAGTCGGTTGTCTTGTAACGGCTAATGACTAAACAAAATATAAAGAAGTTAAAGAATGTCTTGAAGAAATTCGACATTTTAATACCATGTTGGCAATGCAGACGAATTGATTAAATATTATGAGTATTATTACTTTGAAGTGCAATGCACCTACACGCAATGATATCGACCCCAAATTAGATATTGTGCCAAATGGATACGTAATTACGCCTAACCTAACCTAACTAATAAATCACCGATAGGTATTCATTATCACTGCAGCTCATAAATAAATAATGCTCGTTGTGTGACAAGTTTGGTAATCGATAATCGAGTACGTACTAGTTAAAGCTAAATTATTAATAAATCGACTTCTCAATGCAAATAAAATATTCAAAAATAATCACTCATTCATTAATTTACAATAGCTTACGATACACCACATACAAACCTACAAATCAGGGAAGAAAGTTGAGGTTGTAAAGGTTACAAATGGGTTGTGGGTCCAAAGGCAACAATATATTGCGGCCAGGCCCATAGCGGAGAACCACGGAGTGGTCAATAAGAGTCTGACACTACATATCGCCTCACCCTGGGCGGGAGATTTTTTATGATCTTAGTTCCTTCTAACTTATATTTTTCTTTCCTGTTTGCGGAACTCTCATCGATCAAAAGCTGCCAGATTTACAGCAATCTCATATATTCGTGATAAAATTCACAAAAGCTTTATTTTGGACAGCAATTGGACAATCTATCTTGTCCGAACGCCAGAGAACCGCTCATTTAGTGCTATTTTCTCTAAAGGGCATTCTGGCAGTGCTCCAAATGGTCGGAGCACTCAATGTGCCTGCTCGTTTGTTTTCGACCACTCGTAGTTAAATCAAGAGCTTCACAAAGGTACAAGACACACTGACTGTTTGGTTTCATGTAAGTTCTCGGGAAACAATAACGGCATCAGGCCTTTTTGCTGTTTTCTCTGTCAATTTTCAGCCAGTTATGTTTTGAATGCAACCAGCTCTAAAATCTTAATTGAGGAGCTAATTCTCATGAAGCCTTTCTGACTAGTTTATAGCTGTGGTAAAGCCTCAGACACTAATCCACGCCGAAGTCTGGCGGTGTATACAATATTTTGCTCAAAAATTGTGGACACATGTTCGCGACGAATAACAACCAAGTTTTCTATTTTGTCTTTTCCAGCCGGGACCAGAAGTAGTACCGAAGCTCCACGACTTACCTGAAGAATGTATCAGAGAAATTCTCCTCAGGATATCGGATCACAGGGATTTAGATGTAAGTGCCTATCTTCATACAATAGTTGATAGTATCATAGTGCATTATACTGGATGCGAAAACTACTACAAATGGAGATCATCACTCTATTATGGTAAACTGCCAAAACTAAAAACTAAAAACGAGTTTTTCCCACAAAAAATGGTTGCATTACTTAAGAGGTGCCAGTTTGTCATTAGAAGGATTTTCATACAATTATGTCCTTTTATTATTATATAGGAAGTTCGTATTCTTCCGAAGATGCACCTACATCCTACATTTCAGTGGTTACCTAATTTCCATTTACTTATTCTCTAGGCTGCTTCATCAGCATGGACAGTAATGGCATCAGTATGCAATGAGCAGCGCATCTGGCGCGAGCTGGTCAACTTCCACTTCACTCAACAGCAGATTGATGCCGCCCTCGCCAAGAACAAGGAAGATATTTCTGATGAGAAGGAGTTTGACTGGAAGAAACTCTTCCATCAGCTTAGAAAGTAAGTACAATGGAAATAATTGCAATCTAACATTTAAGTACGTCGCATGTAACTCCCACATGCTATTTATTAATCATGATATGATAAAGAACCTATGACCCTCGCGTAGTAAATCTCAATAATCCGAATTTTTGTCATGGACAATCTCATTGGCTTGAGATTGTTCATTTTGTAAGTTGAAATCAATAAATTTCACGAAATTAATGAAAAATCTTACTATATTTTTCTTCTAAACTAACATTAGAATGTGCTAAGAATCACAATTGCTTTTCAAGGATGTACGGTCTTCGAGAAGACGCGCAGTTTGCTGAGACATTATCCCTATGTCGCCACTGTAAGTGCCTGTTCTGGCGTTCGCTGGGACACCCCTGCATAGCTGACCAGTGCCCTGAGTACCGTGAGAGACTCAAGGAGGCCGGAGGTCCTCTTCCTCCACACCCCGTTCCTCCTGCGGCCTTCCTTAAATTTTTCTCTCTGTAGAGTTGAACTACACCGAACGAATACATCACGAAGTCGACAGTCAGTTTCCTGCCAGAAACTCTTGACGTCACTTAACAGGAGTAACTTCAGCAGGTATGAAATATAGTAAGACTAGCCGCTGGATTTTGGCATCTTACAATTACATGATTTTATTAATTACCATGATAACTGATTCAATGAAAATCCCTTTCACCGCACTGAATATCAGAAATATATATTTGTAAAAGATATATATTGTGCAGAGCTAATATTTATCAGTATTCATGTGTACAAATCCATTTTAAAGCGCATGTTATAAGTCTTCCATTAAAGGGAGAATATATCATTCATATTTATCATACATGGAGTTGGAGATGCCTAAATGCGATTCATACTTAAAATATGTTGGTGCTTCATCCAGTATTTTACAAGTGACAGTAATGCAACCTCTTTGCAATCAATGACTGACTAAGATCTCAGGCATCAGGCCTACTTTGAAATATTACATATTCACTTTTAACTGAGTAGGAAATGAATTACTTAAACTATAGGGCAAAAGTAAGTTGTAGCTTCAGAGACAGACCTATGAAAAAATCGCGAGAAGGAAATATTAGGTGCAAGTCTGTATACCACTTACTTTTGCCATGAATTTTAAATTTATATTCGGAATTAAATTAAGAATCAAATCATTAAAGTGATTGTAAGGTGTATTAAATTAAAATAAAATTTATTCTTATATTATCTATGGCTTGAGTAAATCATTTGAAACCAGAAATTGATTGATGTGTTCCACTGTAGCAATTTTCTATTATTATTGAATTTTGACTATAGTTACGATATACAAGTAGATATTTAGTGAATCCTTGTTTGTTATTAAATTTGGAGGGCCTACCCTTCATACAATTAAAATAATAAAACTAAAACAACAGCCAGTTAAGTGTTGCCAGGCTTGAATATATCTATGAATCTACTTTTCTGAAGAGATCAAATGTGTAGTATGAACTAATCATGCTAATAATATTCAAGAAGGGTTGGCAACACTACCAGTGAATGTGACCAAAAACATTAAAACTTGCTATTTTTGTGTTAAGTATAAATAATGTTATGTTTAAGGGATTTCTTTCACTTATATTCGTTTGAGCACGCACTTAATGCTTATTAAAAAAATATGAATAAGGCTTTAAAATAATAATTAAAAAGTTATGTGATAATTCCAAAATTATATCAAGATAAGTGTGTTGTAATATTGTATTTATCTATGTGTGTTGTTTGTTATGTTTATTTATATTACAGTTATATTTTAGTTAAAAAGAAAATGAGGTAGCCAAGTTCTCTACAGAGATACAAATGAGGTAGCCAAGTTCTCTACAGAGATACAAATAAAAAGCTGCTATTTGAAATATTGACTGTTACCATTTTATGACAAAATTAAAAGGTTTTTAGTTATTTAATATAAAGATGCAATAAATAAATTAGATTGTTGACTTGGTTTCAAAAAAAATATTAATTATTTAATTTTATAAATTAATAAAATTAACATTTTAGTTCCTTATTTAAAATTAGACTAATTTAAATGGCTACGAATTTAAAATCATGACTTTGCTTTTAATGCGTGCTTGCATTTAATACGCACACAATATTGAAATAGAATCGTCACAATTGCATACATAATCCGTAATTATGAAAATAGTGACGCAATAGTTATAGAACTTAGTTGACGTAGTAATTTTTGACGAGCTAATTTTGCCTTTAAGAATAGTTTAAGATAAAGACTTGTCTCGTCAAATCCTGAAATCCTAACTCAGTATTGATATCACAATGTTCGTAGGCTTAGATGTGTAACAATACCAGTAACAAAATCTGTGTATGTAGCTATTGGATAAATAGATAAAGCAATATTTTATTACACATTGGTAGTTTGCATTGTAATGTGTTAAGGTTATATAAATCTGGGCAATGTTAAAACTGTTGTAGAATCGGTTCTCTAGGCCTAAAATACTGTTTCGTCAAAGTTCTGTCCGTCACATTAATGTAAGCGGTCTCTGTGATTACTTTCGAATCTGAATGCAAAATTATTTACTAAGTCTGACATTAGGTTAATACATTGTGTTGTAAACTGTGTTTATTGGGAAGCCAGATTTTAAACAAACATTAATTTTTATTTTATTTGTCAAATTTATATGTGTAAAACATATTTAGGACCTGTTTCAACACATACATTATAAGGAGCCAATAAACATATTATATACACGATTAGTTATACTAAAACTTATCTGGTACATTTAGATATTATTAAACAGGTCTATAATATGGAATGTCTTTGCTACTGCTTAAAAAAATCTTTGTCTACAATTTTTTATCTGTGGCTCCCATAAAATGCAGTAAAATTCAAATGTTCATTGTATTGTGGTAGAGTAGTTGTTGATATTGTGATATTTTAAGATAAATTTATGAATAATATTAATATATAAGCATTCAATAGTCCCAAGAAGCTAACCCTAGAGTAGATGCATTAAATTGTGAACTACATGAGATATATGTGGTCCGTTATGCGGTGCCATGATTATCACCAACTTTGGTGCTAATAATGAAATCATTTTGTGTGAAGAAATCAAATTACAAATAAGCCAGTTAGAAGAGAACTGCAAGACTGCATCCAGCAGCTTACTACTGTATAACTTATTCCTTTGGAGTTCATAATTTAATGGTAGATGATTATTATGAAAAAATGCAGCTTACCTACTCACTTGAGTCATTTTTAGTTAATCTGTGATCAGCTTTATGTTATACACTATGGAATTGTTTTTTTTTTCTGATTTGTGTTCTCACTATGGTACTTTATATGGTATTTTGAAATAAAGTTATTTTTAAATAAGAATATCAGGTTTTATTTAACATATTGTTGTATCTCCCCTTATAATCTTCTTAGTATCACAAAATTTGTTAAATTTAGAACAATTATAGAATTTAAACCATTCTTCCTATTTCATGTCTATAAAGAAGAAAAATATACAATGTAGTGTGTAGTGACGTAAAATCTAGAAACATAAATATTACAATATCATGTTATTCGAAATAATTATAACATTGTTTTTAAATAAGAAACATAAAAACAATTTAAAATCACTAGGTTAGCTCACTTTTCATCTTTTCACAATGTCGCACTAAGTCTTTGAGTTTATAGACCAAATCTTGTAGCTGCTGACTTCCACAAGTAAAGCGGACATCATTACCATCATCCGTCTTCAAAATAACTGTATATAACAAGTTTTCAGAACCAACTCCAGGAGTATTCGTCATAACTTCCAACTTCCACTCCACATCTGTGATTTTAGGCAATACGCCAGTTTCTACTTTCGGTCCCGGTTCCATATTGCAATCAACTCTAAAGTAATTCACTATTTCATTGTATTCTTGATCAAAGTTTATAAAAACCAGAATATTAGGCAAAAATCAAATACCATAAATAAATAAATGCCCGAGTCGCACTCAGGGGCGACAATGAAATGTCAAATTCAATAATGACAATTGACATTGACATTAGTAAAAATGCTAAAAATATTGAATTCTGCGGGTAAGTGAACATTGAACACAGGCAAATCATTCATTCTTTTTGTACTGGGAACATTGGATTTTGAGATAAACCGAAAATAAAAGTAGTGTACGAAAGCCTTGAAAGCAAGAAGGTGCAATAATTTGTAGAAAAGAGGTATAGTCTGCAAGTCCCTTTACTTTGTGAGGGTACAATATTGAACAATCATCCATTGACTTCTCTGGCTGGGTAAGGCGAGATGGAGTGTCAAATTCTTACTGACTTAAAACTCCCCTTTACCATTTTAATTGAGGCGCTCGCGGGTCGTTACGGGTACTGCTTGGATCTGGTTCTGGTCGGTCGGCCTTTCTCGCCGTCGCCGTCGGTGGCCGGCCTCTATCCTTTGATCTCCAACACCCCGAGTGTTGCCTACTGCGGTGGCTGGTGTGTGAGAAGGATAGTTCCCTCACACGCTCCGCCTCCTCCTTTGCAATCATCACTGCTTTATAGAAAGAGGAGATGGGTTCCTAGTTTCTCTCGCTCCGTACCATGGCCTCGACTAAGCCCGGATGTGAGAGGTCGCCGCTGCCGATCACTACACGACGATGCTCAGCCTAGGCATACCATGGCATACCACTATTGTATGCTCACAAGAACGACACTCAAGCGTTTTCTCCCGCCGGATCCGAAACAGAAACCTACCAAATTACCACTAGATCGTAACTACTTTGTTTATGAGTAGAGAGGTGGTAATAATGTTTTTTTTCGGGTCGGCGTTTGGCCGCTATCACACTTAGTGGTAAGCGATGATTCGGCTTACGATACAGCACGCCCAATTCACTCTGGCCTTGAAGACACCCAGGTATAAATATCCTACCGACTTCGGCAAACCATTCCACTCCTTCGTTATTCTAGTAATAAAACTAGAGGCAAAACGTTTCGTGCATGTGGGTGGGATATCTACCATGAAACGTGATGACGTTTTGCCGATTGTCTGGTGGAACGATGGTGGAAAGTATTAGGGAAAATCAAGTTTTCTGCACAGCATTTTTAGTAGATACTAGCAAACTCGACGATCTCTGTTTCGCCACCAGATGTACTTATTTCAAAAAGTTGGCGCTGTGCCTTTTTTTGTGAGGGGAAAATCATCAAATGACTTCTCCTGCTCTGGATGGACCGAGGTCGCGGTGCCTCATTGCGCTTACCCCCCAACCCCGGCTGATCATCAGCACTATTAGGCCCCGTCTGTAGTAGTCTATTGGCTCTTTGAGGCGCGCACGGAACTTACTCGCCGTCCGCAGACCCGCAATCACGGTGGCCGGAGATCATCTCTCGATCCCCGACGCCCCGAATGTCGCCTTCTGCGGCGCAAAACCTTGGAAATCGGTTCGTGCATTCCTGAGTTATAGCGTCAGGAAGGTCAACCCGACTTATTTTTATATACCTAGTAGATTTGTTTTAAACAAGCATCGTTCCCACATAGGTGGAAAATCACTCAAGTGACTCCGATTCCCAAAGGAAAGTCTGGTTCTTATAGCCGTGACTACAGACCAGTTGCAATGTTGTCAACATCAGCAAGTCTTCGAGTCTGCCAATTCACGCTGTTTGCAGGCACAAGTTTAGTGAGCGCACAGTTATCGGATGCGCAGCACAGCTTCCGGAAACCCTGCTGCGACTTATCTCTTTAACTTTATGGCGAGGGTGGTGCCGGCCGTTGATGCTGGTATTTTGATGTTAAAAAGGTGACAGCACAATGGTTAAAATGATCTACAAGTTGGCGAAAATTTGCTGTACTCAAACAAACACACATATAGTTATTTGCCACTTACTTTAAGGATCGACAACATTAGGTACGTCGCCTTCAACAGCAACAGGTTCTAATCCGAGCCATACAACACTAGATCAGCAGGGAGCCCGTGCAGCAATTTGATGCCACGCGAATTTATTGAAAAACTTCATTAACAAATATTATTTATTGTTTGAAGATATAAAAGTCTATAGTTGCTGCTCGAGGCCAGGAGTGGGTTGGACTATGAGAAACTGCAGGGAGACATAAACAGAGTTGTAGAATAAAGTTATAAAAACAAACTGTTTTTCCGCACAGCGAAACGTTCAGTAATGACATACGCGAAGACTACCTTATAGTCTACGATTATAAAATAGAAGAGGCGCCGAAGCAGCGAGTGCCTCAGCTACGAGACCTAGGCGTACCTACTGCTTACCTTACTTTTGTACATATATCTATAAGAAATAAATTTATTAGTCCACTTATTACAATTAGGTACATTAGGTCCTTCCCAAGTAACACAGACATGCTGAATAGTGTTTGAGTAAAAGTAATTCGAAAATATTTACAGATATAAGCTCCATAACGTGTGAGGAAAGGCTATTGAAATAGCCAAATTCTGAATAATTTTCTCTTTCTGCCTTAATAGCCATTTATGCTTGATAAAAGTTGTATTAAGGTCGACTATTATTTTTAAAGCTTAGTAATAACTTCTGTACAGCATAAAACGCAGATATTATTAAGCCTAAAGCATTACAGGTGACTTTAATTTGAAAAATATTGCCCGGGTCAGCATTTATCTGTATAATAGTATAAGTAGCTGAATAAACGTAATTATCTAATACTAATAAACAAACTTTTCTCAACTTATTGCTTATAAAACCACCATACTCTGTAAAACTGTGTCCACGGCAGCTGTCTTCTGAATAAGAGTGTAAGTAATTTCTAATGAAAGGAATATTAGCATTGTATTTTGAATAACAGCTTTTATTTTGCCGTCAAGTCATATAAGGTTCCACATTTTATCAATTATTCAACTACTGTATAAAAGTATTTTCTGTGTTCTAAATAGAGCTTATTTTGGTATAAGGGAAATAAAGTCATAGTTTATAGCTAACGTAACACAGATGGAAGTCGAATGATGTACAGTGAAACTTGGTTAAGTGGGACCTGGATAAGTGAGAAACCTCCATAACTGGAACTCATGCTGAGGTCCCAACACTTTGGCACTGAATTACCTCTGTTAGTGGGACGAGGCAAACCTGTATATCTGGGATTTGTTCTTTCGATTTATCATCATAGTTACCTCTATAACTGAGACAGCGAGTAAATTTTATATGTATAAACCTCTGTAACTGAGATAACATTGTTTGTTTACTCATTCATATTCTACCCACAAATTCCACACGTAATTCTAAGTACGTAAGTACAAATTTAGAGCTTCAATTACCTTCAGTTTTAGTTTCGCTTTACTATGCTACAGATGTTGAAAAATGCCAAAACGAAAGCTGCAATCGTTTTCACTACGTGAAAAACTGAAGTTAATATCCGTTTATGAAAGTGGGAAGACACGCGAAAAAGTTTGTGATTATGATTACCTTTAAGTACTATTTTCTTATGAAAACTTATTTACATACGTGTTATGTATCACTGAATAACTGACTGTATACCTGTATAACTGAAATAACCTGTTTTCTCACCTCTATTAATGGAACCCTCTGTAAATGAAACAGATATTTATTTATACCTGTATATCTGAGACACTGGGTAAGTGGAATACCTCTATAAGTGAAACGACATTGCAGGTCCCTTGATGTCTCACTTAACCAGGTTTCACTGTATTTTAATTCCGCAATTACTTGTAAAAATACCATTTTTAAAGAACTTATAACGAGTTTTTCTGGGTAGTAAGTGAATTAAAGACGTTTAAAACATTGTTTTACTACGAGAGCGAGCTTAGGTAGTCGTAATTTGAGTCAAGTCCGAACAGATCCAGTTAAAGGGAGTTCTGTACCTTCAAATAATGCCGTTATAGATTTTGTACAGAATTCAGAAGATAATATTTCAGCATTTAGTGAAGATAAATCAGATGTGAATTTTATTGAAATTAAAAAATGGGAAATTAGTAAAAATATTTCACAAGTCGCACTGAAAAAATCAATAAGAGAATTTCATTTTTTATGTGAAATTTTGTTCGTGATGTTAGTTATTATAATTAAAAGCGTTTAAAATTATCAAAATTTCTTTTATTTCTCAAATTTAAAAAAAAACCGTTCAATCTTATAATTACTAAATTAAAAAAACAGTAAGCCTTCTTGGGGATGATTTCTCAAACTCGCATATATTTAAAATTTTAGTGAGCTGGAGGCAAACTCCAGAGACGACGTATTGTACACACTATGGTCTACACATAACGTCATATTAGATAACTCTTCTTCTGCATCTTCAAAGGTTGTAAAATTATTTCTTTTTAAGGTACAATTCATTGAAATCCAATCCGGACTAGGTTGAGCATTTTCGTTTTTACAAAGGTAATCGGCATTAAATTTGGGCCATTTCAGTTTCGCTGTGCTTTCCCAGTGGGAAGGTAGAGTGCATAGTTCTGCTCTGCCCCTTCGTTGAGTAGAAACAATCTTAAACGGCATTCTCCTGCAAGACATTTCGCTTTATGTTAGGAACTTAGAGTATAGTTCGTTCCATAATTAGAGACAACGATTTGACATTTCGAGTGTTGCATGTTTTTTCCATTTCATAAATAGTGAAGTCCCGCGACCGGTATTGACCGAAAGACCGAAATTAAATTCTGGACTTCGTGCATTTTAAAAGCTTTATTATTTTAAGCTACTTTCCCTGGTACCTTCCTTTGCCCATACTAACTCAGTCGGGTTAAAATCAGAATGGTAAGGAGGCAACCGTAAAATAGTGACCCACCTTTTAGCAGCCATCAGTCCACGACGTATCGTTCATAATTACTCATCTATTTCCGGGAAATCTCCAACAGTTCGGCTTTCAGCATAGGTTCCTCAAATATAATGTTTTTCTTTTAGCCAGTCTTGGATTTGGCATTTTTATTTTAAATTATTATGATTAATTTCACTAAACTATAAAAACATCACCGTAACGTTGTTTTATTTTGCTCAGGGTATTTTATAAAAAACCGGTATCGGTATTTTATTTAAAACATCGTACTCGGGCCCATCACTATGATA